AGGAGTCCTGGTGTGGCGCTGTAGGATAAGAACTCGATGGCAAAGTAGGTGTGAATCGCAAGGTCAGCTGGCTGTTTACATGCACCAGCCGCTCCTTGGAAACACTATACAGGATTGCTTTGAGTCGGAACCGACTCACAGCACTTAACACTATATGTTGGTAACCAAAACCCAAACCCAACCCACTGCTTGAGTCAATTTCAACTTACAGGGACCCGACAAGACAGAAGAGGACTGACCCCTAGAGTTTCTGGAGCTGGATACCTTTCTGAAAGCAGACAATCTCATCTTTATTCAGCATAGCCGGTGCTGGATTCAAACCACTGACCTTGTGGTTAGCAGTCCAACACTTAACCCGCTGCACCACCAGGACTCCATAAATGCCAGTGGTGATGATGGTGTTAAGTGCCACAGACTCAGTTCTGACTCAGCGTGACCCCGTACAGAGTTTCCAAGGAGCAGCTGGTGAACTGAAGCCATTGATTTTGCAATTCAACCCAACCTGGAGGTCCAGTGCTTATCCTATGGTGCCACACCAGGACTCCATATATGTTGGTAGGTGGTTTGTTTGTATTCAGCTAGTACTTTACAATGTAAAGAAGTGTTAAAAAACCTTGGCCTCAACAGGGACAATAGGTAACTACCCAAACTGTAGATTCTGAAGTTTCATTTGGTTTATTTTTTACTCTTGGTATTCCTTTATGAAATAGAGATAAGTCAGCAAAATGGTCACCCTTTCCTTTAAAAGGTAGGTTTTTTTGGTAAATTTAGCTTTATTGAGGTATAGCCGACGTACAATGAACTTAAAAGGTACACACGGATGAGTTTTGATCTATGACTAGTCCTGGTGTGGCGCTGTACGATAAGCACTGGACTGCTGACTGCAAGGCTGGTAGTTTAAACCTACCAACTGATTCACGGAAACCCTACTGGACAGCAGTAAACATCTTCCCATAGGCCAATACCACAATCACAGCACACGAACCCAGCCAAGTCACCAGAAGTCCCCTCGTGCCTGGTCACTTCTCCCTTTCCAGCCTTCATTGACCTCCCTGATGTGATTTCTGTCACCAAAGATTCATTTCCCTTTTCTACACTTACATACATATGGTTCCCACTTAGTAAATACTCCAGATTGTCTGGCACCTTTCACTCCAGCTAATTATTTGGACATTCATCCATTTTATTGTATGGATTGATTAAGAACCCAAACATCACAGAACAGAGTAGAACTGCCCCCAGAGGGTTATGGGAGCAGACAGCCTCTCATCTTTCTCCTGCAGAGCAGTTGCTAGGTTCGAACTATCAACCTTTCTGGTCAGCAGCCGAGCAGTGCACCACTGCACCACCAAGCCTCTGCCTGGCGGTTCACTCCTTTCCTCAGCTAAGAAGCATTCTGTTATGTGGATGCGCAACAGTTTGTGCATCAGCCACTTGTTAACAGATGGGTATCTGGGCTGTTACTAAGAAAGCTGCTATGAACATCTGTGTGCCGTCTATGTCTTTGTGTAATGAAAGGCTTTCTTCTCTTGGATTTCATTGGCTGGGATGTACAGATGGTATGTTTCACTTTTTTAAGAAACTGCCAAACTGTTTTCCCGAGCAGCTGCCCATCTTCATTCACGCAAGCAGGAGGCATAGGCCAAGGCCGCCCAGTGTGGCTTTCACCTCCCGGTGACCGTGAGCTGAAGACAAGTTTCCATTTCATTGTGCTAAACTCAACATCAGTTTGTGTTAAACTCAACAGTTTAACACTGACTGGGGGACCAAGGGAACGGGAATGAGTGCTAAAGGGACAGCTGTGTGTGACAAATGACATGGTTATGGATTGTACCGGCTCAGCGTGGGCAATGTGGTCAATGACATCATAGTAAAAATGGCAAACTTCTTGTTGTATATATTTTACCACAATTTTTAATATATGATTTTAAAAAACAACCGTTTAACACTAAGCAATAAGGCACTGGGTTTTAAAGGCCAAATGTGGTGGGCAAGTGGCTCAGCAGTGAAAAGAAGGGCCTCTTCCTCCCAGGGCGTGGTACACCCACCAGCTCATGGCCAGCATGGGCATGCTCCTGTCTCTGGCTGTGTGCCAGTGATCCCACCAAGCTAGAACAGGCTTCCCCTTGCCCCGGTGGATACAGACCCAGGTTTGGAGTCTGTACCTGCCTCTGGCAGTGAATCATCTCGTGTCTGTAATGTCCCATGGCCACCAAGCGCAAGCTAAGAATCAGTAATGATGGAGGTAAGAACAGAACTGGCCCACTTTCTAGCCCAGCAAGTCAGCTCCCAGATGAGATGGAAGTACTCAACCTGGTGCCATGCCCAGCTGAGCCAACATAACCACAAGTACCCGCCCGGATTTACCCAGGACGAACAGCCCAGCTTATCAGATTGCTCTCAGGAAGCTCTCTGAGGTCAGAGAAGTAAACTCCGAGAAAGATCAAGGAATTTACTCACAGCCCTGCTCCTCTTGCTCCCACTCCCACCCTGGGGCAGTCCAGGGGTCCTCTGTAAAATGGAACTCAGGTCCCACATGAGACCACCAGGGAACCTCCAGAGCACACCAGGGTGGTATCACTTGTGCTGTGCCACCTGCCGAGGGAAGAACAGAGGCCCTGAGCGGGCGGCTAGGCATGGATAAAGAGGAATGGCAAAACCCAGAATGAAAATGTCACCTTCTCATTGTGAAGGCCGCGGCAGGCCAGGCTGCAGGGAGTCAGGAAGCCAAGGTCCTCCAACTGGGTCATATCCACCAGACTCTGCCAGTGCTGGGTGAGCACACGCTCAGCACAGGGGTCTAAGCTCTAGTCTTCCAAGAGTCATACTATCCTGTCACCATGGCCACCCAAAATAGTCACAAGTTCCACTGCTGAGGTCCTGGTGGCCAGCCTCATGGTTGTCCCAAATTTCCACCCACTTCCTTTGTTTGGGGTCCCTGGGTGATACAAACAGTTGGCACCTGACCACCAACCCAAAGGTTGGCGGTTCAACCCACCCTGCAGCACCACAGAATAAAAGCCTGGTGATCTGCTTACATCTGGTTGCACAGATATCCATGAATTTTGTTGCTAAGTAATGCTGAGTCAGCCATGACTCATAGCAACACTGCACAGGGTTTTAAATTTTTGTGGGAGCAGAAAGCCTCATCTCTCTCTCGATGAGCAGCTGGTGGGTTCCAACCACTGACCTTGTGGTTCTTAGTCAAGTGTGTTTCCTAAGAAGCTAGCGTGCATTCCCTGTGGTGGAGCATGTTGTTGTTGGTAAGTGCTGTCTGGCGCCAAGTCAGTTCTGACTCAGAACGACCCTGTCTAGAGTTTCTGAGGAGGGGCTGGTGGTTCAATCTGATCTTGCAGTCCAGCACATTATCTTGCAGCATCACTTCAGGACTCATGGTGATGAAGCATACAGGGGACAAAATTACTAAAACCTCTTAGACATTACCAAACACCTGTAACATCTGTAGAGAACCAAACACCCAAGGTACAGAAGAGCAATGACAAGACCCTTCTAGCCAGTCTTTGTAACTCCCACCAAAGGACTGGGTGAGACTCTGAGAAAGCGAGATGTTTGTGGTTCACCAGGGGACTGTACAGCTTATTAATAATGTAAATAAGATACGCGGCATCCTTATGGAGTGGGAACATGCAAATGACATTTATGAAACCCTAACAAGAGGAATGCTTAGGTTGGCCATCTCACTAAGCTTCCCAGAGGAGCCATCCCAGAGACAGAGGGGAGCTATCTCACCCCCATGAAGGAAAAAGAGCCAGGAGTGGAATGGGTCCTGCAATTCTGTGTTGAACCTCCTCAACTGAGGATACAAGACAGAGGTGTGACAGCAGACACGGGTGACAGGTGGTGAGAAGCAGTGGCAGCAGAGGCAGACAGCCGAACCAGTAAAACTGGCAGGAGACAGAGCTGGGGGTTTCCCAGCCAAAAAAGTGAGAAAGCTGAACGGCTTTGGGCAGAGCCTCACTGGGAGAATGGAGCACCTCCGGGCAATTATCAGAAGAGCTAACCGGCTAAGAGAGGGCCTGAGGGAGCGCAGCTGAGGAACTGTTGTCCTGACCAAAGAACTGTAGCCACTTACTTCCTTATTAAACCCCAGCATCGTATTACATGTGAATTGTGGGTGGCCACTGCAACCAACTGTTAAGAGGAGAAGTAGAGAGTGTGGTGAGCAGGTGTCAGAAGTGGTGAAAAGGTTGGAGGGTGGAGGTCTTGGATGGATGCTGATGGTGATTCTTCATTCTTGTGAAGTTAAAGGAGGTCAGATACCGCCCCCGTGCCATTTCTTTATATAATGCAGGCCCCACCATCACCCGGCTCTGGCAAGGTGAAACACAGTCCTTCCACGTAGCAAGCGCTAAAGAGAACACCACCGAGCTTAACCATGACAGCCCACTGTCTGTGCGGCACTCCTCTTGCATTCTAGCTGCTCCAGAATCAGGACATGTCTGAAGTCATTGACACATCCTACTTTCACGGGCAGCATGTTTCTTTCTTATAATGCGCCTTATAACTAACTGGCAAGGTCTCAGAACTGATGGAGCGTGGTTTGTTAGGGGAAAGCCTGTATGTGAGGTGGCTGCCACATATATGGCCGCGACAGTTTGAACTCCAGGACAGACATACTGCCCCTGGCTGGTGCTCCTCTGACTAAACACTTTATGAAGAAAACAGTCAGTCATTTGTTAACTTACTGCACACTTGCCTCGAGACAGCAGGGTCTCACAGGACGGATGCTCAGGGAGAGATGTGGAAGAGAGTCTGACTAGAGAAGGCTTTCTCAGCACCCCATCTACCACCCTTCACATGTAACGTTCAACCCCACTGTACAGATGTGCAATGTGGCCAGGAGATGAGAAGCAACTTGCCCAGGACAGCAAGGCTGCTAAGGGCATCATCCACTGTTCTAGGTCACGGGGCAGGAAGGATGTAGTCAGTGTGTCCGAGAGAGTGTGCCGGGCTCCCCAGAGGAAGGAACACACACTTACTTTCTAGTTTTGGCACACTCCTTCTTCCAGTTCTTCACCAGAACAGGTACGACCTCTTCTGAGGTGTCCTCCTGATTCAGGGACCAGAGGTCAGTGCTTTCCAGAGGCTGGCGGTAACCCTGCACCATCAACCTGTGGCCAAGAGGAGAGGAGAAGAGAGGCAGTGAGTGTCTGGGAGAAGACAAGGATGCCATATTCAACCCCCATGGCAGTTAGCCAAGACAATCGGGAAAACAATATGGTGGGCATCTAAACCAAGCCCACTGCCGTCCGTCTATTCCGACGCACAGCGACCCTAGAGAACAGACTAGATTGTCCCATAGGCTCTCCAAGGCTGCCATTGTCCAGGTACAGAAGGCCACATCTGTCTCCTGTGGAGCGGGTGGCAGGTCTGAAGCATCAACCTTTCAGTTAGCAACCGAGCACTTAATCAATGCATCACCAGGGCTCCTTGGATGGACACTGTTGTTGTTAAGTGCTGTTAAGTCAGATTTGACTCATCTCAACCTTGTATAGCGTTTCCAAGGAGTGGCTGATGGGTTTGAACCGCTGGCCTTGTTGTGGTTAGCAGCCCAGTGCTAATTCTACAGCACTACCAGAGCTCCCTGGGTGGTGGACATTTGTTATTGTTGTTGTTATGTGCTGTGGAGTTGGTTCTGACTCACAGCCACCCTGTACAGGGTTTCCGAGGCTCTAAATCTTTACGGGAGCAGAAAGCCTCTTCTTTCTTCCGTGGAACTGCTAGTAGTTTCGAACTGCAGACCTGCAGGTTGGCAGCCCGACTCATAACCACTACGCTACAAGAGCTCCTTTGGGTGGACATTGTTGTTAGGTGCTATCAAGTCGGTACTGACTCATAGCGACCTTATTTATGCACAGCAGAACGAAACACTGTCCAATCCTGGGCCAACTTCACTATTTTGCCACGCTTGAGTCCATCGATGATGCCACTTGGCCAATCCATCTCATTGGAGATCTTCCTCTTTTTCTCTGACCCTCCACCTTACCAAACATGATATCCTTCTCCAGCAACTGGTCCCTCCTGTCAATATGTTCGAAGTATGAGAGACGAAGTTTGGCCATCTTGGCCTCCAAGTAACACTCTGGCTGCATGCACTTCTTCCAAAACAGATTTATTGGTTCTTTTGGCAGCCCATGGCCCTTTCAATATTCTCCTCCAACACCGTAACTCAAAAGCATCAGTTCTTCTACGGTCTTCCTTATTCACTGTCCAGCTTTCACATGCATATGAGGTTACTGAAAATATCATGGCTTGGGTCAGGCGCACCTCAGTCCTCAAACTGGTATCTTTGCTCTTCAACACTTTTAAAAAAGGTCTTGTGCAGCAGATTTGCCTAATGCAATACGTCGTCTGCTTTCTTGACTGCTGCTCCAAGGAGCAGCTGGTGACCTTGAACTGCCAACCTTTTGATTAGCCAACCTTTTGGTTAGCAGCTGAGCACTTAACCAGAGATCCTTGTAAGAAACAAAGGAGTCCAATAGTGTCCTATAAGACTCTGACAATATATTAGATAAAGATGTTGCTAAAAAGCCTCAGAAACCCTCTACAGGGTGGCTATGAGTCAGAACCGACTCGATGGCACTTAAAAACAACAAGGAGGAGGAGAAGAAAACATATTAAAATGTTGGCAGTGGTTGCCTCGGGGATTTCTGTAGCTGTTCTATGCCTGTTTCTCGAGACACATTTCCTGTGGTCTGCATGTATTATTATTTTAGAGAGGAGGTAAAGAAACTGTGCCAATAATTGTTTCTAATTAAAAACAACAAAAAGCAAATGTGAAATGAAGCCAAGAGCAGTAACATCTTATAACTGCTGCCCAGAACCAGGTGCAGAGCTTCAAATCTTTCATGGTGTTTGTATTCATCACGCTCAAGTTCAAGCTCTAGCACAAAGGAGTACAAGGGGGAGCTGGTGGGGCCATACTTACCCTGTGATCCACCAGAAGGTGATCCTAGAAAGGAACGAGGCACCGGATTCCGGGCAGGGATTCTGGCAGAGAGAAAAAGGTGGAAGAGACAAGCTAAATGAATGAGTTAATTGTCCATCTACACCAAAGCTCTACAGCGAGTCAGCAGCCCACTACTGTGTTCTGCTGCGGAAACACTAACACTGTTTGTGGTCTGCTGCGGAAACACTAACACTGTTTGCTGCTGATGCTCTCTGCTAACTTGCTCTGTTCCAAATTCTTTACCTTTAATCCTCAAGACCAGCTGATAAGAGTCAACTCAGGTTCAGGGCCACCCCACGTGGGTCAGAGTAGAACTGTGCTCTACAGAGTTTTCAATGGCTGATTTTCCAGAAGGAGATCAACAAACCTTTCTTAAGAAATGTGTTGGAGTCCTGGTGTGGCACTGTAAGATAAGTACTTGCCCTCAAAGTCAGTTTGAACTGCAAGGTCAGTGGTTCAAACACAACAGGCACTCCTCAGAAACCCTATACAGGGTGGCTATGAGTTGGAACTGACTCGACAGCACACAACAACAACAAACAAAACTTTCAGTTAGTAACCTAGGGTGTTAACCATTTGTACTACCCAAGGACTCCCACAATCACCTTGTTGTTGAGTGCCATCAAGTCACTTCTGATTCACAATGGCCACGTATACAGGATTTCTGAGGAGCAGCTGTGGGTTTGAACCACCAGCCTACAGTTAGCAGTTCAGTGCTTACCCTACAGTGCCACACCAGGATTCCACAACCACCTTAAGAGTAGGTAATAACTGCATCCCCATTTTGGGAAACTGAGGAACAGAGAAGTGAAGTTATTTGCCCAAGCCAGAACGTGGTGAATGTGAGCCTCAAACAAGTTCCAGAAACAGACATTAATGAAATGACACATAAATAAATGTGAAACTGTGCCTGGATGTGTGCCCTGCAGGGAAGCAAACACAAGGTGAGTCAAAAGGAATGTTACTAAGACTGCAGCTCATACACACACAGGTTTATCTCAAACAAAATGTGGTCAAACATGCCTCCGTAATTATGCGTGGCTTCAAACAGGTTCTGTCAGTAAAACACTTGTCTAAGTCTCATTAGGATGACTTCACACAAAAGGTCCAAAATTAGAAATTGACAAGAAAAAGCACACGAAAAATGAACTCAGCACAGAAAGCATACGCAACAAAGAAACCAACAGCACCACAAAAATCGACCACCGCCAACAACAAAAATGACTGCAATCAATTCCTACCTATCGATAATGACACTTAACGTCAGTGTATTCAAGGCACCGTCCAGAGACAAGAGGACAGCTGAAGACAGGTCAGCAAACAATGGCTTTACATTTTCTATTTTTGCTGAATAAAGGTTTCCATGATTTTGTTTCAATACCTTTTGATTTAACCTCCTATTACCAATGGCACCACATAAGCGGGTGGGACCCGATTTAGTTTATCTGGGATAGGGATGGCTTCCCTGAGAAAAACGTCCAAGTGGGCATCTGAAGGGTGAGTAGAGGACAATTCAATGAAGACGTGGGGCACAGTGGTTCCAGCACAGAGAGCAGTGTGTGCAAAGGCCCTGTGGGCGAAGGAAGCATGGCCTATTCCAGGAACCCATGCAGTTGACACTGGAGACCATGTGAGGAATTGTGGTCTTTATCCTAAGAACACTGGGAAATCACAGGCAGATTCCAATTAAGGTTCAAAGACCCTCTCCTCCTAGAGGCACAAAGATAACTCCTAGCTCAACAGCAGGCATACAAGGAAGGGGACGTCAGTGGAGCCGTGGACTCACACACAAGAGGCAGCTTTGAATCCTGGGAAATCCAGGCCTACATTCTGAAACACAAGCTTCAGTGAAGAGGTGGAATCAAGGAACAAGTTTCACCTTAACTAAAAAGCAGCCTTTGTCCTTGACTCCAGAAAAATAACCCCAGGAGTTATTGGGGTGCCTTGGTTTGGTGCTTCCAGGCAATTACCTGAGGATTTGTGGGGACTAGCCAAACCCTGAAGGACTTACGTGGGAGAATAATTCCAACCAGGCTCCAAAACAAAAAACCAAACCTATAGGCATGAAGTTGGTTCTGCCTCAGAGCGAGTGACCCTGAAGGACAGAATAGAACAGTTCCTTAGGATTTCTGAGGCTGAAAATCTTTATGGGAGCAGAAAGCCTCATTTTTCTCCCAAAGAGAGGCTGGTGGGTTTGAACTGGCGATCTTGTTGTGGTCAGCAGCCCAATGCTTAACCCATGAAGCCATGATCCACCATGCAGGACTGACCAATCAAAGGTCAAACACTAAGGCTTACATTACAGAGCTTCCTGGTTGGTGATGGGAAGATGGCATGCCACCTTTGTATTAGAAACCTTTTCAGACCTCACTAGCGTGAACTCCCAACCTGTGGCTGGTATATTAAGACTGGTGTGGCACTGTAGGATAAGCACTGAACTGCTAACCACAAGGTCAGACTCACCAACCGCTCCTTGGAACCCTATACAGGGTCGTTATGAGTCGGAACCAACTTGACAGCCTTTAACAACAACTCAGCAATCTAAGGAACCCTGGTGGTACTGCAGAATAAGCACTGGACTGCTAACCCCAAGAAAGATGAGGCGCTTTCTGCTCCTATAAAGACCGACAACCTCAGACACCCGATACAGGATCGCTGAGTCAGACTCAACCTAACGGCATTCTGAAGTTCTCCTAACCTCTGCAATCTGCCCTCGCTCCGCTCCAGTGGCTAGGGTTGGGGAGAGAATGCGCCCCGTGGGTAGCTGGCATCAGAGTGATGCAGACTAGAACGTAGAGAATGACTTAATCTCCATGTTTAAGGGATTGGATTCATGCCAATTCTGACCCACAAGGACACCATGAAGCGCAGACACTGAGCATTATGCCTGTTAGGAAGCCTGATAAGAAAGCACACTCTGATTAAGTGGTTTCACCCAGGCTGGGCATGCTTTTGAAACACCTCAGATCCAGGCCTCGCCCCCATTCATTCTGAGGCACCTGGTTTCAGGTGGGACCAGGGCATGAGTTTTGTCATTATTGTTTTATTTTAACACCCAAACTGAGGGAGGTAGGCAATGTACAAAACAAGCCTAGAACTTCTGGCCACATCCAACAGCAAAGGAACAAAGGATGAGTAGAGTTATGGTAAAAAGGCCTCAGAAGCAACCAGAAGAGGTCCCAGGAGCCAAAAAAAGAGACAGACAATTTGAGCTTCGATATGGGTAGCAAATGCAACGTGCTGAAACAATTCCAAATCCAACCCCACTACCAGACAGTCTGTTTCAACTCACAGCGACCCTGGAGGGCACAGTGAAACTGCTCCATAGGGTTTCTGAGACTGGACATCTTTATGGAAGCAGTCTTATGGGAGCGGCTGGCAGGTTTGAATCACCGACCCTGCAGTTAGCAAGCCAACACTTAACCCACTGTGCCACTAGGGCTCTAGCACATCTGTTAAAATTTGTTATGTTTGTGTTGATTCTAAATTGAAAAAGAAAAACACTGTGGCCGCTGGCTAATGGACCAACTCAATTATTTTGAAAAAGGAGGGGGAAAAAAAAAACAACCATTTTCCCCACCTTTCCTAGAAGTACTGCAGCTACCAAAGAGGAAAGGAATGTCAGGCAGGAATGTGCCACTCTTCACAGTGACGTTATCAGGATGACTGGGACATTAGAAGGCACTGAGGAAATCACCATTACCGTGTTTAGACATACTACAAGGCATTGTTTGTGGGGTTTTTTTGGTAATTCTTATCATTCAGGTATGATCATTGGGAGAAACCGGGTGAGGGGTGCATAAAGATCTTTTGTACTATGCTTGCAATTTCTTGTGAGTCAAATGATTTCAAAACAAACACATACAAAACACACGAAAACACTCATCTTTCAGAGGTGAAGTATTTACACATGCCTCTCAAGGAAAAGGGTACAAAGCAGCTCATTACACTATTATGTCATCTACTTTTGTACACGTTTGAAAGTTTCCACTGGAAAAGCCTGAATAAAAGTCTCCCCCAGTGACTCACACACACAGCCAGGGCTACAAATACCCAGGCTCCACCTGAACAGGTTCCACTCAACCTTTCCATGACCAAAGGCCAAGAGAGTTAGGGAGCTGGCCAGATCTGCCTGTCTATCAGCATGTCCACGGGAACTTGTTAAAATGTAGGTGCCAAGGCCCAGTTCAGACCAATTCAAACACACTCCGGGGGAGTGGGGTGGCTGGCACTGCATAGTTTTAGTTGTTGTTAAGTGCTGTGGAGTCGGTTCCAACTCATAGCGACCCTGTACAGGGTTTCTGAGGCTGGAAATCTTTACGGGAGCAGAAAGCCTCATCTTTCTCCCACGGAACAGCTGGTAGTGTCGAACTGCTGACCTTGCAGTTCACAGCCCGATTGGTAACCACGCTACTAGAGTTCCTTAGTTTTAGTAATTGCCAGTAAATCAAGATGCAACTGGTCCACGAGTCTATAATTTCAGGACCTAAAACAAAGTAAGTCCAGACTGGGGAGCCAAAAGAACCTGAGTAACTCCTAGCTCTAAATAGCACCATTTTCTAGCTGAATGACCTTGGGCAAGTCTCTTCACCTCAAAGCCTGAGTTTTCTCCCCTAGAAGATGGTAGTGATGAATCCTTCTGCTCAGTCCACCTCACAGGGCCACCAGGAGGGTTAACAGCTCTAGGGGACAGGATGTTGTTGTTAAGTGCCATCGAGTCGGTTCCAACCCATAGCGACCCTGTATAGGGTTTCCAAGGAGCAGCTGGTGAGCCTGAACCACCGACCTTGTGGTTCTAACCAACCTTGCAGTCTAGCGCATTACCCCTCAGCACCACACCAGGACTCCAGCACTGGAGAGTTCCAACCAAAAACAGCAAGAAACTTGCAGAGGGTGGAGGCATGTGTTTTGCAGGCTGGGTAAGAAACAATTCAATGTAGGCTGGTTTTCTCTGGGGGAGAGGCCACACCTTCTAACCCACAGGCTGCTCACTCCCCCAGGGACAGTGAGTTGTCAGGATATTAAAAATCGAATTGCAAAT